TATCTCATAACTGTGCCCTTCTTTCTACCCCCTCATGCCATCAGCTACCTCCAGCACTAAGTTACTTCTCTTCTGTGGCACCTTCTCAACTGTCCTCTAATTCCTTTTACCTGGTTTACTTCTAGGTAGTAAGATAGTCTTCTGGTCATACATGTTCTTATTCAAACATTCAATAGACAGGCCTCTCTGGTTCTGCTGGTTTCTCCTCAAACTGACCTCAAACTATCTTCACTCTGATAGCAGCCCCAAAACCCTTGCCAGGGGTCACACCTCACTCAGGTCCTGTGCCTGAGCCTGGTAACTCTTGACTTAAGCCCTAGGATACCCACATGTTGGGCCCAGGGCCCCCATCTCCGTCTTTATCCTGCAATCTAGGTATGACATCATTTCTTGAAACCTCATGTCCTGAATGTTCAGCCTGTTAGCCTTCAAGTGCCTGCCACCTCCTGTCCTCCTCCTGGACTGAGTTTCCTGAGTATCTCTCACTCAATCTCACAAGACCGTGCTCATCGCCTTGGCCATGGCTGCCACTGATCAGTACATCATATCCGTGAATGACAAATCTTTTCCAAACCAAGTCATTTGTGTATCAGTCTACCTTCTGTATGCCTGCCCCATTTAAGGAGCCTAGATTTTATAATTCTATATTTCCAAGGATGCTAAAATCACTTATTGCAAAAAGATTTAGTGAAGCAAAATGCAGACAACATGAGAAATGTAGATCCTGAGAACATATGAAGAGATTTTTTTTTTTTTTAAAGGGCAACTGACCAGTACATGATACTTTCCTAGAAACGACTGTGTAGAAACCCACATTGCATAACCAATGGAATGATCTAGAATTATGAAGACTATTCATATCCTGAAGGGGCCCCTCCACAGAGTCACCGAGAAGAGGTCCCCATGCCAGGAGCCTGCCCTGTGTCCTTTTGCCTCTGGAGCACTTGCCTAGAGAGAAAGTGACTTTTACTTGTAAAGCCTTACTTGTACTCTTTTCAGCATTCCAGATAGTCTCCTCATGTCTCATACATAGTGTAGTTTGCTGCATTCCATTTTATGCCCAAGGCTAGATTATTAAGAATTGAATTGGGATTTTCCATAGTAACTGCAATATAAACTGCAACCAACATTTGGACATGCTTTCATGATATTTTTAAAGTCTCTTTACTACAGTATTGGCTGAAATAGTGTCCCTTATATGACTGTATACGGGGTAAAGATGAATGTCTCTGGCGTTTTCTTGCTCAGACTTCCTAATATCAGGATGAAATGATAAAGAAACATGTCTCTAGGTGGACAACACTCGAACTAGCACTATGTACTATATAAAAGCAATCTTCACAAGTAATGACTTTGGAAAGAGTTATTTCCAAAACCATGTGAAATAATAATGTTAACGAAAAGGTTTATGGAGTAAGTCAGCCCCATAATTCCTTCTTGTCCCTAATAGCTGCTTTTCTATATTATCTTGTCCCATTTAGGGCTGGGAACACATAGAGAAAGCTAGAGTGCTATTGGGTAGGTGTTTTGTTTTTATTTAGATCGTGATTTGTAGTTTTATAGTGTTGTTATACACTTCAAAGTCCTTCCGCTCATAGTTTGCATCAAGTCTGAAGTAGGGGTGACTCACATTCCCACTGCATAGCCTGGTGACTTAAAGCAGAGGGGTTTCTGAAAGAAGCTGTTAGGACCAAGAGATGTCTCTGCAGTTACCGGGCACCTTAATCTGGGAGGCAAGATTCTCAGTTGCCTGGAGATTCCTTAGTACTGTTGGAATCAGAGTGTGTATATTTTCAGACATCATGCGAAGGCTAAACCTGCATTTCACTCTGGCTTGCTGGTTAGTCCCGGTCTTGAATAAAAACTTGTTTTTGTAAATTGAGCCTGGGTCCCTGCAACTGGTTCCAGATCTTTATTCTGTCCTTAATATGCAAGATGAATACATTTTACAGATAAACTGATTGAAATCATGAAGTTTTCCTACATCTGCATCAAGCTTAGCTCAAGTGTGGGGAAGGCATTTAGAATGTTGGTATGGGAACTTCATGGGGAATGCACGTGCTGTCATGTAGTATCAATCATATTAAATTCTTGTTTTAAAATATTGAAGGCACTCCATAATGTTATGAAATATTAAAATCAAATATGTGAGGAGACTAAAAAGGATCTGCTTCATAAATTATATCAGCTAATTTTGGGCTGGGGAATGTAGATCTCAGTGGGATTATGGTGGATACAGGAGGCAGCGCTTCACATTGGTGAAGAAGCTGTTTAAAATCTTCATGCTCGTTTTATGTAGGGGGTCCCCATGACCTCCTTATCCCCAAATGACCAGGTTTGCCTAAGTATTTGTGTGGTTACCCAAATGACCTGTTAGGCAGCACCCTTCACGTGTATCTGCTCGAGTTTCGGGTGGGGTGGTCCAGTGCTCTAAAATAAAAGTCCCTGGCGAGCCGTGCACTGACTGCCCTTCTGAGTGAATGCTCCTCCGCAGAACTGCTGCTTCGTGGTGCGGCTGTGATCGCTTCTTTAGCATCATTCTCTGGGAAGCAGCCTGGCCCCACCCTAAGGAGTCTGCCTCTTGTACGACAGTTCAGTCATTTCTGGAAATGAGATAGCCATGGCTTGGAGCAGATAAAGACTACAAATGTCCAGCCATGTGAACGAACTGTCTAACTAATCTACTGCAATCACCTGTTATGTGTGAGAATCACTTTTATTTTCTGCTGATTTCATTGTGTAGGACCCTTGCTTGTAGACGTATGCCTTTCCTGTACAAGTCTTCCACTGGATCATTTATTATTATTTTTAAAACAATTTTTCCCCACAGAGGGAGAAACAAAAGACAAAAAAAAAAATTGTCTTTTCACTGAGGTAGAACAGTTGTAGCAAAACAGAGGCCCCCACATAAATCAAGCAGTGGAGTATCTAGGGTTCTGTAAGCTTATTGGACAAATGTGGAACTTTCTAGCTGCAGGTTTGCAAACCTATTTCCTAGTTAACAATGTTTTTCAAAAGGATAATGGGCCCGATTTAAGTAAAAGTTTCAAAGTGTTAATCACAACAGTAAAATAAAAAGTCATAGCAACTGTAGTAAAGTTCAAAGGCAGGCTTTGCTTTTCAAGGGCATCCTGTCTGTAGAGGTCTTTCCATTGACTAAAGAAATTAAACTGAATCACCCTGTCATTTTAAGGAAATGAAGGATTTAGTGAAGAAAATGAAACTCTGTAGATAACATAATTTATGCAAAATCATGTAATTAGTGTTAGCTGTGGTAGACTTTTTCCTCCAAATGTGCCTTTGATAAACCGTATCATGAGGAGCAGTGCCATCTAATGTAAGTAGTAAACATGGATAGTAAATTATTAATATCTGGTGAGGCATGCAGATGGCAGGACTTCCATATTTTTCCTTTGAGCTGCTTGTGCATGTTTGCTAATCATTCCTGCAAATACCTGCAAAGATAAATATGAACTTTGAAAAGTAACATTCAACAGGATACGGATATAATAAGTAGCACAATGTGACTGCCACTGCATAGTAAAATGATGGTTAGTTTCTGCTCAAGCTATAGCATAAACTATTTTAATAAGGTTATACGGTTTTTACATATGCACTACTCATTGGGAATGGCCTGGGTCTTGTGATTTGAGTGGTATTTTTAAATCAAGTCCCCAGCACTGTAACCTTGACAGTCCCTGGGTATATGGAAAGGGAACCCCCAGCCAAGTCCTTGTCCAGGGTTAAACCCTTCAAGCCACTGACCTCGACCCTCTGCCTGCCAGAGCTAGCTGGTGATCTCCTGAAATGATCACTTGGTTGCTAGCCAAGGCACGGCTTGCCCAAAGTTCCTTCCCACTCCTGCCAGTTTCACCTCAGGATGCTTAGGCTGAATTTCAGCACCTAAGCAGACAAGGTCAAAAATAAACTGCTTCACTGCTGCCTCTGGCTCAGGAGCCCAAGAGGGCATCCAGCCCCTCAGCACAGACCTGCATTGGGAGAGGGGAAAGGACCTGCGCCTTGGTATGAAAATGAGCAAAATGCGCCTATGTTCTCCCTTATTTACTCCAGGGGCAACTGGCCTCCCCCATTCTTGGCATCTCTTTATCACTGGCTCCATCTCCCTGTGGCATATTTTCGGGTAGTAGAATGCTGAGGTCACGGGGAGAGACTCGAGCAGTGGAGACGCCAGCCAGAACCCTGAGCATGAACCAGCAAGACACAGACTCTTGCTCTTGACTTTAGGTTCCAGTCGCTGCCGGCCCCCAGCTGGCCCAGGGCTCTCTCCTCTCTTCTACTCTGGCTGCCAGCTTGCCCACTTGCTTGGTCTGCAGCGTTGGTTGGTTTCCCACGCCTGTGCGGATCAAACTACTGGATGCCAGGCATCAGGAAGCCTGCAGGCGCCGACCCCAGCCCGCAGCCCTGTGAAGGTGCCAACTCGAGTAAGCAAGGAGACGGGCATTTCACGTGGGCATCTGCCTTTGCTCCTGCTTGCACCTTGCCTGAGTAGCCAGCGCCAGGGGTCCTCTGCTCAGACTTCTCCCCCACCCCTTTCCCTAAGTTAATCAGCCGTACTTGCCAGTTCTCTTTAGTTTTGAAAAATACTTGAAAGCCTCGAAATGTTCTGGGGAGGCGACCGCCCCCAGATCCCCCCCAGTTCTTTCTGGCTAGGACGTCGGGCGTTCGTTCACGAGGCTGTGGCGTTTGTCTAGAATCCACATCGCACATACACAGCCCTGCGCCTCGCCGGTGGTGGCCAAAGTTGCCAGACGCCCCTGGGCTACCAGGTCACTCCAGATGCAGTTGTGTAACCTCGCCCCCTGCCCCCTGCCCCCCTCCAGGTCCGCTCCTGGCTGCACCGGCGGGTTCTGGCCCAGGCGAACCCTGTTTGGGGGCGAGTGCGTGCACCTGAGCTGAGGTCGATGTCTGTCCCGGCGGTGCTCTGCCCGCGGCCAAGTGCAGCGGGGGCGCGGGAGGAGAGAACGCGGGGCTTGGCTTACCTTCGGCTGCTTACAGATAAGTCGAGGTCGGTGCAGCGCCTGGCTCGGGCATGTCTCGCCGCGGACCCTGGCAAGCCTGGCGCGGCAGGGAGCACTCGGGGCAGGGCATCCGCGGCAAAGCTCGCCCGGCTCGCGCGGCGGAAGGCTCGGCTCTCGGGACTTGGTCGGCTGCGCGCCCGCCCCCTCCACTGCCGCTGGCCCGGCCCGCCTGGCCCGCCAGCCCCCGCGCTGCAGCTCGCGTCTCTCCGGCCCCGCTCAGCGACGCCCGCGGGGAGGTAGCGGCTCGGCCGGCTCCGGGGACGCCCGCGCGCTCGCTCGTTCGCGGCGCGGCGGAGGAGCCAGCCACAGCCACCCGGCTCCGTGCTCCTCCGATGTCCTCATTTACTGCAATTGTCTTCGGCGAGATCTCTGAGCTGGCTAGGGGGGCGGGGGCGCAGAGGGGGAGGGAGCGGGAGGGAAATCCTTGCTGCCGCTGCTAGGTCCCAGCTACTCCGCGGAGCCGGGCAGCCAGAGGAGAGGGCGCCCAGAGCCGCACGCCAGTCTGTCGCCTGTGCGCTCCGCTGGAACCGAGGCGGGCGGAGCCCCGGGCCAGCGGGGGCGGGGGCGGGGGCGGCGCAGGGCCAGGCCGAGGCGCGTGTAGGGTGGGGGATCTGGAGCGAGTGGAGGAGCTCCCTCCCGCCGACGCCCGAGTGGGAGCTGGAGAACAAGGTGGAAGAAGCTGCAGCCGACTGCCGCCTGCGCGCGGGGCTCCACGGTGGCGCGTCCTCGAGGTTTTCGGGCTGCAGGCGGCGCTGCGCAGCCCAGGAACTTGTTGAGTGTGTCCTAGAGCCGCCTCCGGAGTACTGGTTGGCTGGGGGACCCTGAGTTTTCTCTTCGGAAGGGTCAGTGGGGCCGGGTTTGATGTTCTTACGCTGTGCCAGGTGACCCAGCCCTTCGGGACTTTGAAAACTGCGGACTCCAAAGACTTAGCTAGGAAGCGTAGGGGAATCGGTACCAGCCCCTTTAACTGCACATTGCTGCTCTGTGGAGGCTGGGGTCAAAGTCACTCACCTGTGCTGAGTCAACCTAGGCTCTGCCAGAAGAGCATTCAGTGCCCTGAGGGCAGGATGGGAGTGCCCACTAGGAATACTCCAGAGCAGCACCACTGCTGCTCCTAAGCAGGAGTCACCTGCCCAGTTGCCACATGGGTACCACCACATGCCTGAAGCCAAAGGATACATGCTGTGTGTGTGAGGGGCAGAGTTGGGTTCTTCTGGGCAGGGGTTTATCTAGGCTACACAAAGAGCCTGCACAAAAATACCCCCATGCACACAGAAGTCGGCCAGAGTATTGGGTTTTCTGAGCTCTGATCACAGCCCAGGATACCGCTGATGCCTGCCAGCTCTAATGCCTGGGCCTGGGACTGAAACCCCTTCACTTTCCTCTCAGATCAGAAGGGTATCTAGGACTTGGGGATATTTAACACCAGATGGCAGTGGTGCTACTGACCCCTGTAAAATACTCCTTTTGCAGATGGGTTTTTGGAACTGTGAACATCATAGATTCTCTCAGGGGCATAGGGAACTTTCTCTAAGTCTTGTGTTATTGCAAATCCATAGAATCGAAATCTGCCTTCCATCTCTTAACTCTTCCACTGTAAATAAAACACGGGAAACATGAAAGTGGTGCTGGTGGTAACAGCTAGCTGAAGTGTTGGGGGCCATGAGTGGAAATAGATACATATAAAACGCGTGTGCAAGAGGGCAGCGTTGGCCACTGGTGGCACTGAGAGCCGACAGGAGAATGTCTCAAAGGCGGGAGTATTTGTAATCCCCTTGGTGTATACTTCTAATAAGAAAATGAAACATTGTAACTGGCAGGTTAGAAAATCCACTGGTGTGAGGAGAAGGGTTTAACTGAGCTTTGTAGCTGCATCAAGACCATCTTGAGTGGTTCAGATGCCTGGTTGACTTCAATTGTGTCTCTGTTAAAACCTTTGCTATCCTTCCCTGTTTTCTGAAGAACCCTTTCACCTGTTGTGCTACCAAAGTGCCAGTCTTTAGCATCACAGATGTGAATAATGATGAGAACTTGTCTCACCGGTCTGGTGGCCATGGATGGATATTCCATACGAATGACTCATGTACCATCATACTCACATCTAAAACAAACATGTTAGAGGCTGAGGAAAGGTGATTTGGCTAGTTTCCTGTCCACAGACCTTCATTGCATTGTCATTATTTTTATGGATGAATAAATGCATATTTTTAGATTCTAGAATGAGTTCTTCAGTTCCCCTTCCACATGATATGGTAGTAGATTCATCTTAGGACTCAGTTAGCTGTAAATTGGTTTCTTATATTTTGCCTCAAGTTTGTACTTAAAAAAAAAAATGGTAGACTTGCAAAGGGGAAAATAGCTACCTTGTCAGAGGGGTTTCCTGAACACAGAGGCTTCTTGGGAATGGAAATAAAAGGGATACAAGGCAGCTAGCTAGTCAGAATATTCCAGTCTTTTCCTTTTTTCTTGGAAGTATGCATGGTTTGTTTGTAGAACTGCTGGAATTCCAATCCCATAACATAGTTCTGAGCCTTGATTTTTCATATTTAAGAACACCAAGAATGTACAAGTCAAAGACATTCAATATTGTTCATAACAGTTTTGTTTACATTAGTTCCAAGCCCTCCCCCCCCAAAAAAAAACAACCCCAAAAACAAATATCTATGTATATTGGGATAGATAGAAGTGTGTTGGTTTATTCTTGTCTAGCAGCAATGACAACGGAATCATTAGTCACTGATGCATGCAGCAGTAGGGAGGGCAGCAGTAGAGAAGGGACCTTTACGAACATTGTGCAGACCAAAGAAGACAGACACAAGAATAAATATCATATGATTCATTTAAGATGAAGTCTAAGAATATGAAAAAGTCATCGGTGGTATGTGTCAGAATGGTAGTTGCTTTTGGGGAATGCTCTTGGCGCAAGGCCATGGCACCTTCATTGGTGCTGAATTTTTCTGTGTCTTGAATTTGGTACTGTCGTTGCATAGTTGTATACATATATAGAACTTCATCAAGTTCTCTTGTTTCTGTTTGATTCCATTTTGTCTGAGCGTAGCCACTGAGTCATTGCAGTATCTACACACTAGTAATTCCTCCCTTTAAAGGAACCAGCTTATCAGTCAGTAAGATTAACTTGCATCTACTGAATTCGCTTCCTCTCCAAGACCTAAGGTGAGAAGACAAGAGAGATGTCTGCAGATCAGCTGCTGCCATGGATAAAATGTCTTAGGTGGCTCCCCGTGAGGCTGCTAGTGGACCATTGCCTGCCTTCCTCTCAGGTGCATCCATGACAAGAGTCCTACTTTAATGTTCTGGAGTGACTCGAGGTAAGCCTTAGGCTGTGATAAACAGGTTGTATCTTCCAGTCCAGAAGCTGCAAAGGAGAGTTAGTTACATACAGTACACCTGCAGGGTCCAGATGAGTAACCTCAAGAAGCTTTGCTTTCTCTTTCAAGAACAAGAGGGGCAGAGCACTCAGAAGGCGCTCCAGCCAGCACTCATCTTTGACCAAGGAGAGACCCAGGAGAAGCCCTTTAGGATGATTCCATTTATTGTACTGGAATCACACGTTCACTGTCTGCTTTCTGGACTCCTTTCTGGTTTTATAGTCTTACTTGGTGTAAAGTCCGCGCCTGTGGCTCCTCCATTGTCTTGGCAGCTAAGTTTTATTACCTTCCATAAGAAAACAAAGCTCTGTCTCTGTGCGCTGACCCCCTCTTTCAGGATGCTGCTCACCCTTAGGCTTCTTTTCTTTCTATAATGAGAGACTAGAAATGGCTTATTAGTCCCAAATAGAGTCTGAGCAAAACTGAATGTTATGAGGATTGGTTGAAATCCCTGGTTTTCTGTAATATATCATTGTGAATCTAATTTTCTATAAGGAATGGGATGGCTTCATCTTTAAGGAGAACAAAAGTGTTTCTAGGCTCTTTAACATGCAGTAGTGGCGATCAGTGAGAAAGAACCAAGGGTGAATATTTGTTTCTGGCTTCCCCTCACCTTTCATCAAAGTGTCTCCTGTGCAGGGCTGTGATCACAAGGCTTCTACCCCCAAAGCCACCCATCTAGTCTTTCCCTTAGCTGGATTCACTAAGGACATAAACATGTATACTTCATTTTGTTGCCCTTAATTTGATCCGTTTGTGAGGTGAAGTCCATAGGGTTTTCTTATTATCCAGGTCTAATGTACTAAGGACCAAACCTCTGCAGGAAGAGGTGGATGGCTAATGGGCTTTTCTTAATCCCTGCTGGTAATGCCACCCATCTCTTGAGTCTGCTTGAGCCAGCCTCTCAGAGGGTAGCTCATATGTTCAGGCCAAAGAGTGACACCTTTAACCAGAAATAGGTCAAGAAGGGATAAAAATTGCTTTCAAATTCCAATGTCTAGCCTGCTAATCCACTTTGTGTGTGTTAAGACTGTTCACTGTCCTCCTGTCTGCGGTCTATCCTAGCACGTGAGAGTCCAGGTTCAGGTCAGAGGGGCTACAGAGAGGCTTGAAGTCTTCGCACAGCTGTGTAGGGTGGGAGGGAATTGTCTTGAGGTGTTTGGTCTAGGCATTTCCTCCTTTGCCATTCTTTCTCACCTTAGAAGCCACAGGCACAGAGGCAAGAGTGGGAGGAAGATGGAATGGACAGCAGAAGCGTCCTTAGGTATGCTCTGCTCTTTCTCTTCTCCGGATCCTCTTCAGATATGAAACGAATACGATGTTGCACTTTTGTGGTGCACCTGCGGCATGGCAGGCCTGGGTACATTGTGCATTGCTGTCCTTTGTCCTTGTAAGACAAATGTAAAGTGGATAAGGAAAACTTTATCCACCTATAAAGATCAGAAAAGGTAGACAATTTCTCCAAGGTCACACAATTAGGAAACAATAGATCAGAGATTCAAGTGAAGTTCTGCACACTGTAAAGCTTCCTGCTCAGGTTCATGACTTTTATCTGCTAGTGTTGCCCTGTTTGAACCAAGCATTCCTTAGATATTATGGTGCTAACTGAGGAGTGCACTTAAAACTCCTGGAACCTACTCTTCTCTTTACCTGGCAGTGAGCAAGATCAGGTACTGTGTCCAAAGGTGCTTGCGGGACCTGCTTGCGCTTATGGGATTGATTCTGACCCATG